ATTATTAGAACCCTGTTCCATCCTCCTGGCCGCGTACGAAACACTTCACAGTTTTAGTGGAAGTGGCTTACAGAGTACTGGGGATCTGAAAAAAAAAATAAAAAAAATAAGCAGAGAAGCTACCTTTCTCATTTCAAGGATTCAAAAAAATCTGCATAAATCCTGATAAACCAACATAGTCCAAACATGTCCAGACATGTCCAAACACTCCCAAAGCTTGTCCAAAGCTTCAAGATCCCCCAGCCCCCCACCTCCACCGTAAGATCTCAGGATTTCCCCACTGAGGGTGGGGATCCGCCCGCGTGGCCCGCGTGGCCCGCGTGGCCCGCGTGGCCCGCGCCCCGTCCCAGCGTGGGGGTCAAGCCAGGCGCGCTGGGCGCCTGCACCGATTTTGAGCACCAAGGAACTCGACGTTTTCAATGGAAAAATGTTGAGATCTCACTTGATTCTAGTCAGAATTTCCAGATGATGTTAATATGTTTTTATATGTTTCTAGTGATTCTAGATAAGTTTAATGTGATTTTCACAAACTGGAGAAGAGTATCAATGAGCAAAATTGAGATTTGAGCATCAAAACTGGTGATTTGAGTACTCAAAATGGGGATGTAATTTGAGTTAACCACCAAATGATGATCAATGTATTAATTTATAAAACTATGTTTGATGCTTAAATAACCAGCGTGCAGGGAATATCCCTATAAAAAGTGTGTCAATGGATTTTTCCTTTTCCAGGAAATACAAAAAATTGTCTGGGCAAATTATCATATTTCACAATCCTAAATCCATAGTTTGGGATACCCTCTGGTAATTTAACATAGCTATTGAAAATGACCATTTATAGTGGATTTTCCCATTGAAAATGGTGATTTTCCATAGCTATGTTAAATTACCAGAGGGTAACTCTCCCATATTTCACTAACCTGAAAAGTTCGGCCCACCATTGGGAGAGTTATCCCAATCCGAATCCCATGATTCCGACGTCTTCGGTGACGTGAGGTCGCCCGGGAGGATGGATTTTTTTCCGGATTTTCCAACCCCTTTTTGGGGCTTAAAAATCATCTAAGATAGGGGATTAAGCAAGCAAGAATACTTGGGGATACTTGGGAATATTTGGACCAAAAAATATGATATGAAGCAACCAAATAACTAATGGTTGACCAAGGCAAATGGTGGTTTGATCGGCAAATAAGCAATTTATTAAAGTTTACGATGTTTTTACAGACATTATTCAACCCTCAAAAATAGATGTTTCGACCATCAAAAACTTGGGGGTTGACCACACCAACAAAAACTAGGGATTTTTCACGGGATTCAACCAAAAAAAACGGCGATTTCACCCGCCAATAATGGGGATGTCATCATTGAACCACACAAAATGGGTCGCGTGGCAAAGAAATGAGGATTTAACAAAGAAGAATGGAGAGTTGACAAGCACAAGCGGCAATCGTATCAGCAAATATCTAGATGAGGATTTTTGCAGCAAAAACAGGGATGTATGGGGATGTTTATGGCAAACAATGATCACGATTCACCCCAAAACCCCGCAGTGCCTGCTCCACTAGAAAGAATCATCTTCCGTTCTAACATAGAGCAAGGCTCTTTCTGGGACGGTTCTTGAACATCTTTGGGTGCCTTGTGGCTCCATGCATTCTCTCCAAGTAAAACAGCTCTTCACCTCATGGTTTAATACTGGATCTATTCATGGGGTGTCCTATGGTGGATCCTCAACACACCATGGGTTTGAACCCAACCCAGGCCGTGGCTGGCCGTGGCTGGCCGTGGCTGGCCGTGGCCTGCGCTTGCTCCATGCCGTCTTCTAGGATCAAGGTTTGTTGTTTTCTCTTCATGCCTGACAGCTGGTCTCCAGCTGGTCTCATGCGGAAAACGCCCCCAGTCCGGAGGAATCCAACTTACCTGATCCGCAGCGATCTTCCCGACATCGATAGAATACATGTAGATCCAGTCACTGAGGGTAAACTCTAAGCTACAAACCCGGTTTGCAGAAACATAAAGGTTGTTTTTCACCACCAACCTTAACCATTATATACCATTATATAGCTACATAATCAACCATTAGTCATATAAACTTGCATTAACCATTAGTAACGAGTGTAATATAGTAATCGTGAACAGGCCCTGATGTTTCCCCAGCCTTCAGCGGGTCGAGAGGCTGGGAGCCTAGAGGAATGGCACCCGAGGATCGGGCGGTACTTTGGTCTGCCAACTTGGCCTGATGAAAGTATGTCTTTGATGAAATGAAAGTTTATAGCAAGTTTATAATCAATTATATCATATGGTCAATCCTGATCATAATATATATGTCTTTGATTGATGCAAATGAAAAGTGAGCAAGAAGATCATCAGAAGATCCTGAGATCACCCATGAAACTTGGGATTTTCCAACGACAATGAGGGTTCTGTCGACAACCGAGGTCCTTTGGCCCAATGACTTGTCAGAGGGATATGCCTGTTCTGGCCTCGCTAACTGGGCCTTGCTCACCCACTTCACATCTGCGGACTGGCCTTGATTTTACCTCCAAAAAACGGATGGTTGACCATCAAAAATGACCAAACGCATCCATTGGTACCCCAAGATGTTCAACCCCAAAAGACAGGGCTCCGCACTCGAAGGATGCCTCGTAAAGGTTATCCTGGCGCAGCATCCCAGTAACCGGACTAAACAAGTGATCTGATTGGTTGATTGATGTTGATTGGCACCCCAAAATATGGTGGTCATTCGGGATGTCTTTCTACCTTGTGGTTGAAAAAAAAAAAACGTTGTTGCTTAGCTCCCGATTCTATCCCAGCAAAAGCTGAAAAAAAATCACATATTTGTCATCATTTGTCCCATCTTTGGTGGTTGTTTTCCTCACTTTTTCCATGAAAAAATCCATGATTTCACCATGTTTCAACCCCATCGGAAAAAAATCGCCTCCTCAATCCCCGCAAGGCTCTGACTCGGGCCTTTCGGCGCCTGGAAGAGAGTGGGGCCCCAATGACTTTTTATGGCCTCTTGGGGGTCCCAAAATAATTTTAGATATGTTGGTACCCCAAATGATTTTGGTTTTCCCATTGATCATAACCAAGTTTTGGATGAGTTGGATGGTTTTTGGTGTCCCTTTTAGGAAAGCCTCATTTCATGGAAGTTGAATGGGGTTTTGCTTGATGTTTTGTGGATTGAGAAACAAAGAAAAACGCGGTTCAGACCTTTTTGACGATGGGATGAAACAGAAATACCACAGACCAAGAAAGTGGCAAAAATATCCACTGATATCCACTGCAACTTGGAAAAAGATATCATATACTTAAAGGCCCTAAAAAACCTACAAATGTTCGCTCTTTTCTTGGCAGCAAATCAGGATGAACCACAGCCAAATCAGGGATATGATATGATATAAATGCTTGAAAGTAGGATACCTCCCAGAAGGCTCTATGAATTTCACATCAGGATGATTTCGACCCATTGTGGTTGATTCAATCATGGAAATAGCAACAAAAAAGCGCGATTGATGTCATAGGGGCACCAATAAATCACCCAAGAAAAGGGGTTACTGTTCTTGTACAAGGATGAAAACAATTGGAGAGCAGGATGGGGATTCCCTTTCGTCCTATAATATAGTGGATCAAAATAATCACCATCCATGTCGTCCACTCGTCCATGGTTTCATCCCATCCCAATAGATATGAGACAATTGGGATCATGCCAAATAGAAGACCACAGGCAAGCAGTTGACATGTGTTATATCCCCTTACGCTAATATTCCTTGATTTCACAGGATTGTTGGCTATAACCCCAGCCAACATTGTCCTTTTAGGATAATTTTTCCGGGGGTCGATGTGGTATGCTATTTGGCTTATCATCTACCAATAAAGGTTGGTTCTCATGGCAAAAGGCGCCTTAGCCTCGCCGAAACCAGACTTCCCTCGATCAGCATTCCTGGCCAAGGTTAGAACCCTGGGAAACTGCTTTGGGAAGCAGAGCTTTGGGGTGTAACCCATCGAAACTTCGGGTTGACCAACAAAACATACGGGGCATGAACGTGATCCAATAAGAATTTGGATTTGATCAACAAGAATGGGGATTTAACCTGCAAAAATATCGCTTATGATGGGTTCAACCAACCACCAAAATTGCGCAAATTGGACCCCTAAGCCCCAAGCAAAGCCATAAATCAACTTGGCGTGATTGCCAGCACATGGGTGGGACCCTATCACCACTTAGTGCGGACCACCTTTAAATGGAATGACATCAAACCGTAAGGTGATCAAAAGAAAGACGCAGAAAATCATGTTTGGGCCATATCCCCATATTGGTCATGAAAGTTCATGAAGTTGGAGGTATCTGAGTCATGTTCCGGGTTCGTTTCTCCAACTGTTGATCCTTTGATCTACATGGGTTCATGGGTCGCCTAGCAATCATAGAGGTGGTGCAGTGGTGCAAGGTACCACCGGGGTGTGGTGCTTCATCTATAGCAATCCCCTTCAAATTGCTGTTGAGGGAACGGGGGAATGATCCACAAGGATTAAAAATCATCCCATTTCCCCATTCCCGGAATGCACGGATGGCCATGGTTGATGCCCCGAGCCCTACCTTGAAGGCCATGGCACACCACCTCGACAAAATTGGCCCCTGCTAGGTACCCAAAATTGCATAATGGCTACGGGACAAAGCCAAAAAAAGGCTGGTAAATGGATGTCGCATCCCGAAATTTTGATGATGATGTTGAAAATGCATCTTCGATGTTGATATCCATCGGCAAGGATTTTGTGATGTTGAAACCCAACCATCTTCAGGCAGATCATGGAGCTTTTCCATGGCTGAGAAAGGCCTTTGAATCCACCCCATCCGACTGGTTTTAGAACACATTGGACATATATGAAAGATGATCAAAGCATACAAGTTTCGATCACAATACCAGGTAAGATGGACAGCAACAAGGATGCTTGAAATCAGCGAGCAGTTCATTTAGTCGGTTTCATCCCCACATTCTCAGTGCAAATCATGCTGGCTGACTGGGGCCCTCACCGGAGTCTTCTAAAGAACCCCGTTTGGCTGCCTGCAGGGCGAGAAAGGCTCTCTTGGTCAAGGATCACAAGGTTGAGACTGACATGAATCTGGGTCAAAACTGGGCACCCAAAAATTGTGAAGTTCATATGGGTTTTCTTCAGGAGGGTAAACCGAAATCCACGGGTTAGTCACAATTATCCAAAAATTAGAACTGCCATTTTGGGGGGTATCCTCCATGTCCAGACACACCCAGATCACATTGTTGGTCCATCCCAGTTGATTAGATCCTATCGGATATATCCATGATATCCCAAAAAAAAACATTGGTGATATATCCAGAAGTATATACAGTGTGTATATATATATATATCCATTATGATATCTCCATGATATCCCCATGTATACCCATCATATCCAGAAATGATCCGTCCGGAAGCAGTGCAAAAAAAGCGCAAGGTTCGGCCTGTGGAAGTCGCTCATCCAGAAGCAATTCCTGGACAGATTTCAACGGAGGCTCAGGATGTGACGCCCAGTAACCTCTGGCATGAGATATGATGCGACATATTATGATTTGGTTTGTATGTATATATATATATAGATATATATATATATGTGTGTGTATGACTTGTCTAACCAACCATATAATTTGGATTTCTCCGGAAATTGACGTCACGGTTGTGTTCGGAAACTGGCAAGCTGTATTTGGACACTGGGAGCTGTAGTCGGAAACTAGTTGCATTCCGAAACTACAAACAGGGTATTCGGAAACTCAGACCCAAGCCGGAAACTACTGAGCTGATGATCTGACAAAGGATGCACCCTTTTTAAACGGTAAGCCGACCTTGAACCGTGGTTGCTGAACAGTTGCTGAACCGAACAGTGTTAGTTTCTGAAACCCCACACTCGCTACCTCCGCCAGGCCGTCCAAAGCATCGTCAAGGTCTAACTTGGTGCCTGGTCCAAAAAGCGGGCCTTGTTGGGGGTATGAAACCAGCAAGAATGGGAATATAATGGGAAATAGTGAGATCTAGCGGAATATAGTATTTGGTGAATGACCCTGGTGTCTAAAGCCAAGAAAAGTTGAGGGCGAAACATCATCAAAACGGGATTGTGAACCAGCGATAATGCGGAAATGTGTGATCTTCTCATCTGGGTTTGCTTTACTTACGACTTAGGACAACAACCAAGGTCCAAACACGTCATCATATGAAATCCCCTACAGCTGGACGTCTGAAACGTTTGACACTTTTTACACTTCACCCCCATAGCTATTGAATCACCCGATCCCGTGGTTGATCATCATCTTGCCCATTGATGGCCAGAAATTAGGTCTTACCCTCTGGTTATTTCACAGTTCTGATGATTTACCTATTCAAATGGTGAGTTTCCATGGCAAATCGTTGAGTAACCAGATGGTAAATCACCGTACTTGTCACATAAATCCCATGTTGTCACCATTTTTGTGGCCCCGGTTCCAAACCCCAGCGCCTGATTTCACCGGTTCCGGCCGCTCCACCTCCTGGAGAAATCAAAATGATGTCTGCTGCAATATGTGAGCCCCTTTTCTGAGATTCTTGGTATCTGTTACATGTGTGTATACATATTAGTGTGTATTAATATGTATGTAGTATATACATATATGTATATATATATATATAATTATATATATATGCATATATATATATACATCATACATTATTATTGCTTGTTTATTTATCTACCACATGCATATGTTCATATCGCGATTACTGTTGGTATACGCCTACTATGTTTCAAAATGGGTACCATATTGCAGATGGCGATGTCTTTCGATAAAAAACAGCCAGCTGTTTGGACCTGGAAAAACAAAAAAAATGGGAATGCTGGATCTTACCAATTGAAAAATGAAGACTCAATTTTAGCAAAACCCCTTTAGATACAGTATATGAAGCAACTATATGAAGTAACTATCAAATCCAACACAACAGTCCAGCGGAGATGTGGAACGCTCAATCCATACAATTCTGCTGTTTCAAGATGCAAGCTGCCAAATATGGAGTTTCTATAAATGGGGGATCCCCAAAATGGATGATTTAGAGGTACCCCCTGTTTAGGCAACCTTATGATCTAGCACTTTACCCATCAGCAAGTCTCATGCTTTGCCAATCTTTGGGGAACACAAATCGTCTAAATCGGGAGCACAAGATGCCCCTATAGAGCCACAGCAAAATGGGCAGCTCGACTTGTTGGTCACTGCATCCCATCTGTAAAAAATGGGATTGTCTGAAAATAGCCCAAGTTTGATGGTTCAATCATCACTGTTCATACCAAGGGTGTTGATTTTCCTTGCTGGCCTTGAGCCTGATTTTCCTGATTTTCCCACCTCAGTCGGAGAACTTGGAGCAGTCTTATGCTCAGAATTGTTGGGCCTGGCACCAAACCCAAGCAAGGCGGTGAAACATCTGTGTGAATCCCCGACAGAAAACCATGGTTTCTGGGTGGTGTTTTTCATGGGGGATGGGATGATTTACCTGGCTACCCTCTAAATCGATCATAGCCATGGGAAATGTGGCCATGTTTCATAGATAATTCATCCACAAATGGTTAATCCATTTTGACGGGGTCCTAGAAAACTGTCCGGAGAGACGTTCACTGTATGGTAAGGATATGATAGGGATCTTCCTTCCAAACCAAAATGGGAATGTTGCCCCAAATATATCTTGGGTCTATGGCAGAGTCTATGGCAATGGCTGAAAATGTTTGACTCCCCAAACAGTGGATAGTTTCATACGATCATCAAATTGTTGCGGGATGACCATCCAAGACTATTCATCCAACACATGAAATCAAAAAAAAATATGTATGGTCTGTATGGTTTGGATGGATTCTGATCCTAATATCCTACAAATGGATGGATGTCAGGTGGATTCTGATCCTACAAACCACAGCAGTTGGGCCACATCAAATCCGCCTCACATCTTTTCGAGGCGCCGTTGGGCCCGTTGGGCCCGTTGGGGACATACTAAGCCTCGAAAAAAACTCACAGCGCCAGCGATCGGTCAGAAATAGAAGCTGCCAAGTCATGGGATTTTAGCCAATAAAAGTAGAGAAATCATGGGGGTTTACCCTCTGGCAAACTAACATAACTATGGAAAATCACCATTTTTAATGGGAAAATCCACTATAAATGGACCATTTTCCATGGCTATGTTAAATAACCAGAGGGTACTAGTAGTAGCATGCGCTTGGGAAAACTCTTATTTCGTAGCTTCTAATTGGATTTAATTGGCTCCCTATGCTTTGTGGGGAAGATGGATATATTGACGGCTGCGAATCGCTCCCTCCTGGCCTCCAGATAGCAGAAAAAATGGTGGTCATAAGCCCATCTAGAGGATATGTAAACCCATCGAATCCATGTACTAGTCCATGTAGCAACCGTAATACAAATTCCATATCAACAAAACTACATACAGTACATACGACCCTATCAAAAAGTCCGAAAAAGAAAAAATAAAAATAAAGGTTCTCCGTGAAACCCCCGATCAAAACTGGGATCAAAAAACTGGGGTCAAAACCAGGATTCGGTCCTTTTTGAATGGGGGTCAAAACCCATTCCGGTCTTACAAAACATCGAAATGTGACAAAAATCCATGGATTAGTCCATGTTTTGGGGTTTCTTTGCCAAGTTACCCCCCAGTTTTCCAACGGATTTTCCATCCTCCTTGGTCCCTTGGTTCCCTTGGTCCCAGCTCCAACTCGGCCCGCGGCTCAGGCAGGACCTGATCCCAGTCCTTGGCCTGGGCCTTGGTGACAAAAATGATAGCGCTCTATGGGAGCCAGGGGGAATCCCACATCAATATTACCCTCTGGTTATGTCAAAATAGCCATGGAAAATGGCCCATCTATAGTGGATTTTCCCATTAAAAATGGTGATGTTCCATAGCTACGTTAGTTTACCAGAGGGTAACAATAATCATCAATATAATCAGAATAATCAGAATAATCATGATAATCATGATAATGATAATGATAACGATAATTTTTTCACAATAATCATGTACTATACAGACTCAGTAATAATGCTACCATACAATAATACTATAAATACTATATTACTATGATCTTCTCCTTGGCTCCGGGCCCGGAAGGGCGGCTGCATGGGACTGGCACTGGCAATGACCCCAGCGCCCAGCTGCTTCCTGGGGAAACAAAGGGCGGGGAGCTGATGCCTGTGCTGCCTGTTATACCCTTCGGTAATAATTGGGTTTTCTTTTCGGAAATGATAGGGATTCAATCGGAAAGTCTAGGAAATGATAGGGATTTGTAGGGATTTATTGCATAATGATTGGGATTATAGGGATAATAATTGGGATTAAAAAACGGATCTAATTGGGATAAGAATTGGGATGTACAGGGACAATAAATGGGATTTTATAGGGATACCAATTGAGATACCAATTGGGATAATCATTGGGGTACTAATTGGGATAATCATTGGGATACTAATGGGAATATACGTTTTGGCAATCAAACGTAGCTAGCTGGGAAGTCCCCCTAAAAATGGACAGTTTAGTGGGAAAATCATCGAACTAAATGGGGGATGTTCGAGCACACCATATTTTGGATTGCTAGAGGGTAAGCCCGATTTAGATATGCGCTGTGTCCAAACGGTCTTGTTCTGAAGGCGCTAAGGGAATGCTTACGCGGCAGCTAAAAAGCGCTGCTTACGCCCCGGCAGTTTTTTATTTTACGCGCACCAAGAGCTTACGCTGATGCTTATGCAGGCTTACGCACACCAGGGTTTTGCTGACGTGGCTCATATGGAAATCCAATGATTGTTGGAAATTGGATGATAATCCAATTATCCCAATGATTCCAATAGTCAAGCCCTGGTCGAGATCATCATGATCATCTGCGAGCGATGGCATGGCAAATTTCAGCTGGCTGACAGATACCCTCTGGTTATTTGACATAGCAGTGGAAAATGGCCGATGTACACATGATCTATGATGATTTATATACCTATTTAAAAAAAAAAAACGACTGTCCAGTTGTATCTCAATTTGTGTTGTAGTCGCAATTCTACATCTCCCTCCCATAAATTAATGAAAGCAGAAAGCCATGAAAGCAGATTGAACGGCAACCATGGCTGTTCCATATCGTTCTGTTATGTTTAGCAATTGATTGGTCCAAGACTAAAGACCCCAACTAGCATGACGACCCCATGAGTTGAGGGTTGGAGGACAATTTTTTCATCCAAGAATTTACCAGTTTCATGGTCAAACTTTTAAGAAATCCCGATAACTACCGTAAATATCCATAAATCATGAAAAATCCCAATTCTTCCTGAAAAAAACACCATGATATTCCATACTTTTTCCTGGCTGATGGCTGATCCAGGCCTGGCAGCTGATCTCTGCTTCTCTAAGGCCAACTGCCTTTGCCTCCGGATCGAAGCGATTCGAATGTGGAAATCAACGGGAAACTTTCAATGGGGGTTTCCATAGTCATGGGGATACCCCAAAATGAATGGTTTATGATGGAAATTCCCAGTAAAAGGGATGATGTGGAGGTACCCCTATTTCAAGATTTTCCCTGTCCAGGTGTGTGTGTATGTACATGTGGGTTTTCCTGCAAGTTTTCCGTCTTAGATTGGGACCGCTTGTGACCGCAAACAAGATGCAGCCCACGAACCCGAATGCTCACACGTATGTTAATGGTACAGATGCCCAAACACATGGATATGCAGTCACGCAGAACACTTTTCTGAAACAGTTTACTTGAACAGTTTTGTGCATTTTTCCCCTGGTACCGTACCATACCAGTGCACCCGTAGACTGTGGAATATGGAAGAAGGTGGCGTGCTAAGTGTGGAGTGTGGAGTGTAGAGTCTGGAGTGTAAAGTATGGAGTGTAAAGTGTGGATTGCCAAGTGTAAAGTGTAAAGTGGGGGATTGTGAGGAGTAGAGTGCAAAGTGTGGAGTGTAAAGTGCAGAGTGTGGAGTGTAAAGTGTGGAGTGTGGAGTGAGGAGAAAGGAGTGAGGAGTGAGGAGGGAGGAGTGAGGAGGGAGGAGTGAGGAGTGTAAAATGTAAAGTGTAAAGTGTAAAGTGTGGAGTGTAAAGTGTAAAGTGTAGAGTCTGGAGTGCGGAGTGTGGGGTGTAAAGTAAGGAGTGTGGAGTGTAAAGTGTGGAGTGTAGAGTGTGTAAAGTATGGAGTGTAGAGTGTGGAGTGTAGAGTGTGGAGTGTAAATTGTAAAGTGTGGTGTGTAGAGTGTGGAGTGTGGAGTGTAAAGTGCGGGGTGTGGAGTGTAGAGTAAAAAGTGTAGAGTGTAAAGTGTAGAGTGTGGAGTGTGGAGTGTGGACTGTAGAGTGTGGAGTGTGGAGTGTAGAGTGTGGAATGAGGAGTGTAGAGTGTGGAGTGTGCAGTGTGAAGTGTGGAGTGTGGAGTGCAAAGTGTAAAGTGTAAAGTGTAAAGTGTGGAGTGTGGAGTGTGGACTGTAGAGTGTGGAGTGTGCAGTGTGAAGTGTGGAGTGCGGAGTGTAAAGTGTAAAGTGTAAAGTTTAAAGTGTGGAGTGTAAAGAGTGGAGTGTGGAGTGTGGAGTGCAAACGCCTGCCACGCAAAATGACGGCATAAGATCTCCAAAATGCTGCGCCTGCCAGGAAAACTGCAACTCATCTTCTGAAAACGACGCAAAAGTATTGCGCCTGCCACACAAAACGATTTTCGACACGTTATCAGACAGGTTGGAATGTCACAAAGTGCCGCGCCTGCCACGCAAAACGACATGACAACCTGCTTGAAAACCTTCGAAAAGGACATGTTTTGCAGCTTCCCCCCTAGACACGGCGAGGCCACAGGAAAACAAGAGACTCGAGACGAGGAGCATTTCGTGCGAGACTTCCGCTAATTTTGACACTTTGTAGCTTCAAAATCGACGTTTTCCTACGAGTTTTCCTTAGAACCTGAAAATTTGCAACCTCAAAATCATGTTTCGTGCGAGGCTTCCGTCAATTTTCAGCACATCACACAAAATGCCACGCCTGCCACGGAATTTGCACCTTGTCACCACTTGACGCAGCCCTGCCAATGCGATTTGGCAAAAACACGCAACAGGGCACGTCTAAAGTGCTGCGCCTGCCACGAAAAATGATGATGGACACGTCCGAAGTGCTGCGCCTGCCACGAAAACTGCAACACATCTTCTGAAAACGTCACAAAAGTATTGCGCCTGCCACGCAAAACGACTTTCGACACGTTCCAGAACACGTCTGAATGTCACGAAGTGCCACGCCTGCCACGCGAAACGAAGCAACGACACGTCTGCAACCCCCAAAAAGGACCACCTCTGCAGAACTTCCCATAGGCACGGCCATACGGGGATCGCGCAAACACTTGCGGACGGTTGCGAACGGTTGCGGACGGTTAGGCAACGTCGAGCGAACACACCCTCAGCCCCCAGACCCCCAGAGTGAAACGGGAACCCTCGCTATGCATTCGGGAAAACATCACATTGCATGGGAAAACAGAGGGCCACCTCTTAGCATGGCCCATTTCAGATATATCTTGCACAAAAGTTAAAATTTCCGTCTTGGTATGTGTTTTCAATCTTCCTCAGCCGTAGCTCAAAATCGAGCCATGGTATCCCGCTATCGAGCCATCTTATCCCATATCTTCAGACATGTTCACGACTTTTTTCGGATAAACCATAGTTTTAGGTTTATGTTGTCCCATATATCCCATCGATTTTCCCCACGCATTGGCCAACAATTTCCCACCACCAGTCAAACTCTCCCCAGCTCCCCAGCGGCACCTACTCATTTTCTGCTGCAAGAGGGCAGCTCCTGAGGCAGTTTTGGAATGTGCTTCCTATGTGATGAATGCAGAAATGTACATTATATTATATTGTGGTGAATACATGGATAATGATAGAAATATACATTTTAGTATGAACTGTATGCAATGTTTAATAATATGTATTAATCAATCACATACTAAACTATGTCGTCATGCATTCACAATCACATTGAACTATCGTTAATAAGTGTGGCTAAAAAATATTTACAGTACATGTTTTAGTATTTGATTCGTGTTATCAGTATGTGGCTAGTAAGTCTTAATGCCGTTGGTATAAATTTGATATGACCACCGAATACGTTTGCTGTGGTTACGGCCATGTTGCAAATATTGGTAATGCATCTGATATAAATAATATAGCGGTTGATTGTGGAAAAAAAACAAGAACAAATGTTTGGGTTGATTCCCATCAAGTCCTAGCCGTGAGCCGGGTATTGCTCATGTGTTGGGAATATGGTCATCGTTTCGTATGTGATTAGACATGAATGGAAAAACGATGGTTAAAATCTACATACTCAACCACGACTGACCATAGTTCAATGTGAGCATTGGAAAAATTGGCTAAAATCTCCAGTGGTAGACGTCCTCCATTTGGAGGTGCACCTTCCCGCCTCGGAGCGGCCATAAATCATAGTCATAGGGATTATTTGGGGGTCAAAACCTATGGATTTACCATCGATTTGGAGGTTTACTATGGTTTACTCACATCCTGAGCAGCTATAATATGGGTAGCATCTGGCTTTTGAAGGCTTTTGACCGATAACCATATGGCAATATGGTATAATTCCCTGGGATGATGGTGATTAACCATGGGATAGGGGCTAGGCCATTCTTGTAGGTCCAGGACCAAATCTTCAGTCGCTGTTCGGGACGACCCTAGTGTTTTGTTCGAGAGTGCCATTCCCATCATTACTAGATTCCCATGGGATATTCAGAGTATAGAGGCGTACTACAACACACTAGAATATATCTTTGTACACCTTTCTACTAGATTCTTACTAGATTCTTTATACATTCATACTAGATTCCCATGTTGGCGCTCATATCCAACTTTGATGATCATAGCCCCATTTCAGCACCCGAAACACCGCCGCCCCTCTGAGTCCCAACAGCGGCGGTCCCGGTGGCACGGGCCCATCCTTCAGGAAATGTGGCATTCATGACACGAAACGTAGTTTGTCTTTGGGTTGGTTTCATGCGGAATTTGCAGGAATGTGTAGATTACCACGGTTTACGGCGGTTTATATACAACGATTTCAGGAGTTTTCGCCGCTAACTATGCCTTTTATTCCAAAATATGAGTGATAAAATATCTCATATCTTTTCTGCCAACCTAAAATGTCATGATACATTACGACTATTTTATGGACATCTACCATCAAGAAAAAATGGCCAGTGACGGCTGAGACCCTTGCAAAGGCCATGCCACCAATCATTGAAACCCCATGGAGGCCTCAGGTCCAAGTCAAAGCTTACATGTGAGCCTGCCAAAGATACCAAGATACCTGCATGCGTGTGTGTATGCGCGTGTATAATATACATACATACATACATACATACATACATACATACATACATACATACATACATACATTACATTACATTACATTACATTACATTACATTACATTACATTACATTACATTACATTACATTACATTACATTACATTACATTACATACATACATACATACCTACATACCTACCTACCTACCTACCTACCTACCTACATACATACATACATATATATATATATTGTTGTACTATAATTACAATACATACACAGATAGAGAGAGAGACAGAGAGAGAGAGAGAGAGATATCAAAACCAAACACTACTTAACCAACCAAGAAAGGGGGATGTAAGCAGCAAATGTCGGGATTTGATCCACCAGTTTTGAAGGGTATAGCCATAGCATCGATGCGATGAAATCGCGAAACATTTTCGAATTGGACGCTACATGCATGTGTTGTCTTTTCAGACCTCTGTTAGTTTCGTTTCAGTGCTTCCGGAAATCCTGAAAGTGCATGGTGTACGTTTACTCCTCGAAATTTGCAGCCCGGGAAGCCAATGTGATGTTCAGCAAGTTTCTGCCTTCGGCTAGTCGTTACTCTTCGGCAACATGTCCACATTGCTCGAGCGTTTTATTCTCCCGCTGAGTTCGTGGCGCGCGCAAAAATGCGGCGCAGCTGCGATTGTGAAGCCAGAAGTTTTTTCGATAATCACATACAAACCCGTGGAATCTGTTTCTAAATATTCTGCTCTCAAGTTGTCAACCCAACATTTGTTCTTTCCAGAACGCCAAATTACAGTAGACATCTGCATCAATGACTCCACATTCCACGTGTTTGTCATGGAATTGGTCCAATTATTAATGAATCAAAAAACGACTTCGCGATTGGTCCAATGACCGCATCAGAAAATACCGTGGGTAAAAACAATCGCAATACACGAAAATAACTCTTTGAAACCTTTAAAACACATATACCAAATGTTGGGCCAGTTCCATTCCACAAAGTTTTATTGGGTGTGTGATGTGTCTGTTCGGCCATTTTCGTCGCTCCTTTTTTGCTGCTGCAATTGTTCCATGGCGTGCCAGCCGCCCGGCTCCAGCAATGGCGTGCGAGCCGCCCGGCTGGAGCCAAGTCATGCCTCGAAGCAGCAGTGATATCGAAAGCGGAGATTCTACGATTCAAATTTGAGATAGTTAGTTTCGACTTACATATTCCATGCATATTTGTTTGCACTTAATTGTACTTAGTAGAGCTTAGTACTTTATCTACATGTTCTGCTGTATCTGCTGTCTTGTTTGCAACGTTTTGCAGAATTGACATCTTGGTGGTGCCCCCACCGCTTGTTTGCCACGACTCAAGTTGAATGAAAGTCGACAAAAATCGGCTAGAATCGATGCAATCCAATGATTCAATGATGTGTTGGGAAAATCGGAAACCATGTCACCAGCCAAACCCCAGGATCAATCCAACAGAATGTTGGAAGTTTCATGTTTGAATAGGTGTTTGGAGCCCACAGCCCCAAGTGCTGTCCTTGCCACAACTTGGACCCCGGCTTGGTGCTGATCCAAAGGGATCTGCTCCTGCAACAAAGGGCCCAGAATATATCGATCTAATAAATAAACTCAGGTGCTATCCCCGACAGCTTGAAAGTTTCTGTGTTTTTGCCATAAAAAATGTTTATGCCATAAAAAATAAATTAGCTGCTTATGCCATAAGTAAGCTTCGGTGGTATCCCCAACAGCCGCAACTGCAACGCTTTATTTTTACAAATCTTTCTGAAACCTGCTGCGCAGCCAAGCGCTGGAAACACGTCAGCCTGCTCCAACGCCTCCCAGACCTTCTCCGGCACCTTCTCCGGAACCCTATTGAACCTGACCTGGCTCTGCACAAAGCCTCGTTGAACCCAACCTGGCTCTGCACCAAAGCCTCCCAGACCTTCTCCGGAACCTTCTCCGAAAACCTCTGCACCAAAGCCTCCCATGCCTTCTCCGGAACCTTCTACGGAGCCCGTTGAACCTGACTTCGCTTTGCACCAAGGCTTCCTGGAACCTTCTCCAAAACCTTCTCCGGAACTGGAACCTTCTCCGGACCCCTGTTGAACCTGACCAGGCTCTCCACAAAAGCCTCCCCGAAACCTTCTCCAGAACCTTCTCCGGAACCCTGTTGAACCTGACCTGGCTCTGCAGACCTTCACCGGAACCTTCTCCGGAACCTTCTCCGGAACCTTGTTGAACCTGACCTGGCTATGCACCAAAGCCTCCCAGACCTTCTCGGGAACCTTCTCCGGAACCTTCTCCGGAACCCTGTTGAACCTGACCTGCCTCTGCACCAAAGCCTCCCAGACCTTCACCGGAACCTTCTCCGGAACCCAGTTGAACCTGAGCTGGGTGTGCACCAAAGCTTCCAGACCTTCTCCAGAACCTTCTCCGGAACCTTCTCCGGAACCCTGTTGAACTTGACCTGGCTCTGCACAAAGCCTTCCGGAACCTTCTCCGGAACCTTCTCCGGAACCTTCTCCGGAACCTTCTCCGGAACCCTGTTGAACCTGACCTGGCTCTGCTAGGCATGCAGTTTGGAGATAGGTCTGCTCACCGCCCACGGGCACACGGGCACACGGGCAATCCACGGGCAATCCACAGGCACACAGGCACCCGGGCACGCGGACACACAGCCAAATCACGAGCACACGGGCACACGGGCAATTGACCGGCACCCGGGCACCCGGGCACGGGCCCACAGTCAACCGACGGGCACACGGGCACAGGAATCAAAGAAACTCAGGTAACATGACGGAATAATAACAACATTGCAGCGCGGCGAGCCCACACAAAGGAATCTACGGTAGACGGAGCCAAAACGACACATCTGGAAATTAACTTAAGATCAAGGCAAAACAATGACATTAAGCTGCACGCAAACAACACGGCAAGGACAGCGACATGCCATCTACAGCAGACGGCGCCAAACCCGCATTTCGAAATTAACATAAGATCAAGGCATCACAGCACAGCGGAACAACGTTGCATGCAAACAACAAGGCAACCACATGGTCACGCAACAAGAAGGAACGTCAAAACAACATCAATGTCTACAACGACGGGCAACGAGCTCATGCTGCTGCTATGAAATCACGCTGCGGCAACCGGTTGACACACAGACAGGCAGACAGACAGGCAGACAAACAGACAAACAGATAGATAGATAGATCGATCGATAGATCGAAGATCGATAGATCGATAGATCGATAGATCGATAGATCGATAAATCGATAGATCGATAGATCGGTAGTTCGATAGATAGATAGATCAATCGTTATGGCATCGGTGACCCTGGCGCCCCAAACAGACCTTGATCAACACCGGCATCGCATAGCGCCACGTGTAACAAACACATAAAAGGCGTAAAACATGTGAACCCATCAAATAATTTATTTGCAAATTTTCGAGCGACATGTTCAAACTGAATGTGCAGCTGAAATGAAAGACCGGGCACACACTTTTCCGTCTTGCGCAGAAAGGGGAAAGATCTCTGGTTCAGCATGGTGTGGTTGTTGCTGCATTGCAACATCATTGAATTGCATTCATTCACAAACGAAAAATTCACTGCATTGTGTTTCGTTATCTCAAAGATCCCAGGGTGGGAACGAGTGCATGGAACGAGTGGGGTGGGAAATGAAAACAGCATGGCAAAAAGTGAGCGATGAGCCCACCCACCCACCGCTTAGTTCTTGATATGTAAAATTCCAACATGCAAGGCTCAACATGTAAACATGACAGATGTGGCATGGACATACAAACATAAATAAACATGTGATGACATCGGAGTTGTTTTCCCAGATTTGGTTCTGCACAGAACTGCGTAAAGGAAACAACAAACATAGAGTCCATAAACGGAAATTCACACGCGGTCGCGATGCGTCACGCAGAGGAAAGGAGACAGAAGCAAAGAGGAGACGCACATACCTACCTCACCTAAACCTAGCAAGCGTGCAAGGAGAAGCATCACATTTCTAACTTTGTTTTTGGGCAGCCAGGGGAAACGGCCTAGTTTCACTCACCTAACCCATAAACGGCTATTGGCAAGCCAACGGCCACATTATGGCATCGGTGACCCTGGCGCCCCAAACAGACCTTGATCAACACCGGCATCGCATAGCGCCACGTGTAACAAACACATAAAAGGCGTAAAACATGTGAACCCATCAAATAATTTATTTGCAAATTTTCGAGCGACATGTTCAAACTGAATGTGCAGCTGAAATGAAAGACCGGGCACACACTTTTCCGTCTTGCGCAGAAAGGGGAAAGATCTCTGGTTCAGCATGGTGTGGTTGTTGCTGCATTGCAACATCATTGAATTGCATTCATTCACAAACGAAAAATTCACTGCATTGTGTTTCGTTATCTCAAAGATCCCCTTTCCGCTTCAGCACAGCATTTCAAGTTTCGTGTGTGCCAACGGACATGTCGGCTGGGCTTGTGTCATGGCGCCCAGAAAGTCAAGTTCAGCTACTGTGCCTCTGCTCGGAAAATCTGCAGGGTTGGACTGAGAAGGAACTCGAGTCACCCAAAGATTCTGAAATAATTCATCATCCATCTCTTCCAAAACCAGCAAAAGGTCGCGCCATGCCTTGACGTTTGCAGTACCT